CTGCGGGATGTCTGGTCACCTTAATTTAACAATATCCCATTTGTGTCGGGGGTGGGGGGGTGGGGGGCGGTGTCTCACCTCATCCACATTCATACTGGACTTGGCACTTGTCTCAAAAAACCTGATTCCATGCTCCCGAGCCAGCTGTGGGAAGGAAAGTGGGGGTGAGGCGGGAGAAGAGAACTGGGTAAAGGATGGCGGCCTGGGCTGCTATAAGCCCATGGCATCTTGCCCAGCCAGCCCAGTTCGAGAGCACTGGCCCCGACCCCTCACCTTGTTGGCCTGCTCCTTCTGCACCTTCCTCTTGGCCTCCATGTCACACTTGTTGCCCAGCAAGAGGCGCTCCACCCCCGCTGATGCATTCTGGGGGCGAATGGGTAAACTAAGTCACAGCTGGGTCCTGTTCCTCCTAACAGTCCACTCCCAGCGTTGTCCCCGGTTCCCTTCCCACAGCCCCCGTCTCTGCGGCAGGCGCTCACCTCTTTGATGCTCTTCATCCAGTTCTGAATATTCTCGAAGGATTTCTCATCTGTGATGTCATATACGAGAATAATGCCCTGCGGGATGGAGGTTTGCTGTGGGGTCTTGGCCCACACCCTTCTTCCTGCCCCTCCTGGTGCTGCACTCTAAGTGCCCCAGAAGGCCCGTCCACGAGTCTAAAGGCCAGGCCATGTGGAACCCTCTGCAATCCACGCTTGTACACTTCTCACTCCCACACTCTTGCTCTGCGCCCGCCTGGACCTCCTCCCTACCCAGGCTCCCCCACGCTCCCTACCATGGCTCCACGGTAATAGGCAGTAGTTATTGTCTTGAATCGCTCTTGGCCAGCCGTGTCCCTGAAGAGGTGGAAGATTTCGAGGATTAGGATAGATAGAAGGGCTCTCCAAGGAGATAATTCGTCCCCCCCTCCCCCAAGAATTGAGCTTTTGCAACATTAAAAGGGAGAGGGAGGAGGGAAGACAGTTGGGCTGAGGTTGAGACATGGTAGGAGCCCAAGAAACAAGATCTCTCTTGTTTATTCCTGGAGTGATTATTCTCTGCCAAGCAGTGGGTGTGTATCCTTTTATTTAATCATCACTCCAACCTTGGGAGACATGGTTTTTGTCTCCATTTACAAATAAGGGGACAGCTTTGGAGAGGCTGAGTGGCTAATGAAAGCCACCTGGCAGGTAAGGCACTGAACCAGCACTTGAAGCTCCATCTACTCCTGTTTACCAGGATGCCCCCAGGAAGCCTGCAGCAAGTAACCACCTTCCAGGTCTCCAGCTTCCTTATGACAGCTCAGAGGGTTTGGGTTTTCTGGGAGCTCTACGATTTAGGGAGAGCACTGGGCTTGGAGTCATC